TTAAAGGGAAATAACTAAGACAATCAGAAGAGGCATGGCACGTGGAACTAGAACAATGTACTCAGTGGATGAAATAAAGGGTTTGGTTCAAAATTTCAATCGTTTGAAGAAGGTCGGAGTGTACAATGGTCGAAATTTTGTGAATATGGCAATGAAGATAAGGGTAATGTAAATAATGCAAGTAAATCTTTACTACATGTCAGCCATATTGCATATATAGTTTAGGGTTTTTTTTGGGTTTTTTTTCAACTCTGTAAACAACAAAGTAATTGGAACGTTAACCCAACCCCACACCGTGTGTTCATTGTAGTGACTAAAATCAACTTTTTTTAGTTTGTGAATTAATCAGATGAAGTACTACATTGACTTTTTTTTTTTTTTTTTTTTTTTTTTGACTGGGGTTCCTCCTTGGTTTATTTTATTTACTTATTATTTTGTTGTTGTTTTTTAGTATCTTGAACAGAATTCTTTATTTGATCACAGATAATGTATTGTCTTATTTTTATCTGTCATATCTAATGTCCTTAAAGAAATTTGAGAAGTTCTTTATAATGCCAATCTGCCTTTTGATTGAGTATTGATTTGAACTCAAGTTCTTATTGGGTATTTTGAAATAGGGTATTTGTTTATCCATTCTGAAATTTAATGTTTGTCCTCTGTCATTTAAACATTCTCCTCCTATATTCATCAACCTGTGTATTCCTTTCTTCTTCTTCTTCTTCAATGTTGTCCTGTGTTTCTATCAATTTAACTTCATCTTTAACTATGACACTTCAGTGAAGGGAAGTTGATTTTCAGGTCATTTTTCTCAACATTCATTTGATCGGGATTCATAAACTATGCAGTGCTTTAATTGGCTTTTATTTCTATTTTATATTTGCATTACAAAACAACTAAACTCACTCAATTACTATTTTTTCTCATTATCTCTAATGATTGTTTTTAACTCCAGAATTTGAAATTCAAATCATTTGGGTTGTACTTTTCATGTACACCAACCCACAACTCTAACACAACAGACACCAGCTTATGGCCACATCACATTGAAATACCAATTCCCATATGATCACCTAAGTAAACCAAAGTTGAACCTGGTCAGTAACTAGATGGATGGCCACTTGGGAAGACCAGGTGTTTAAAGCTTGGATGTGCAGGTGGTGTAATGGATAATGGCTAGGAATTGTTAATTGGAGAGCCAAGTTCCAATTCAAGTTGGGTTTGTGAGATTCACTTATGTACAGATATCCTTGGGAAAAGTATGAGTCCATTTCTTCTCCCTTCTATGGGTTAATTAGTAAGAAATGTATCACTAAACCATTATGTTTAAAAAAAAAAATTTACAATCAAAATATTTTGTCTATATTTCTGAGATGAGGTATTAGGTACACTATTTACATTATTCGAACTATTGTACCCAGCTTTGTCGCCATATTTTTCACAACGTTTCGGCCATTGTACGCTCTGGCCTTCTTCAGGTGGTTGGACTGTCGAACTGAACTCACTCACTGGGGTAGACTGTTCTAATTCCACATGCCATGTCTAATGAATGTCAGTTATTAATTATCTCCTGTTAATTCCCCCTCTCCAAGTTGTGATAAATATGGCGACAAAGATGAGGACAATAGTCTGAATAATGTAAATAGTGTCTAAAAATATTTTTTGACTTCAAATAACCTGCAAATAGTTAATAAGCCATAGAAAATGAATCAACCAACCAAGAGACACCAATCTAAAATCATAAACTGGTGCTATTACCATAAAGATACTTTTAATGGATATATATATATATATATATATATATATATATATATATATATATATATATATATATATATATATATATATATATATATATTCTTTTTAGGTCGAAGCAATCAAATTCTTTTTGTTTATTACTTGCAAATTGTCAGATGGTGGAGTGGTTTTCTATTCCTTTCTCCCTGGTCTGTAATACAAAGTTTTCTTTTTCTGGGGCTGGATACCACCTTAAGCTAGAGCTCCTAGTCTACTGCTATTTAATCCACAGCTGGGTGGAGAAAAGAGATTGATTTTTCCAAGGACATTGTGTGAAATTGAATACAACAAGAGAGGCCAGAGTTTGAACTCATCTTGTCAATTCCACACTATAATTGTTTACGCCATCAGCAAATAAATACCCAAGAACAAAACTTTTTTTTTCTTAGGATTTTTTACATTATTTTTTCGCAGGACAAAATGAGTATTAAAATAAAATTATAAATTTTCTCTTAATTGCTCTGACTCATGTAAGTCTTTCCTGAATCTTGGCTTTGAAATAAAAAGTGTCATTTAAAACTGGATTTTCATATGTTTACTTTAGATGTCTAAACAAAAATAAACTGGTGTGCTGGTGAGCATAAGAGGATAAAGAAATAGATTCATTAGATTTATTTACTTTTATTTACCAGACAACAGACAAAAACTAACTAACTAACTAACTAACTAACTAACTAACTAACTAACTAACTAAATATATATTCATTCAGGATGTGATGGATAAATTGTCATCTAAATTACACAAAAATGAAAATAACACTGACATCTCATTTTAACAGATATATTTACAAAAATTACACAAAAATATCTTGAAATAGTAAATTTATTCAATAAAATCGCCATTTGGCTTCAACCACAACCTCTGAATGACTTTGGAATTTCCTGCAACTCTTCTGGATGGTCTTGTGAAAGTTGGTGAATGCTGCCATAATCCTTACCAGTTCATCTTTGGTGTTACAAGTTTTTTTGTTGGTCTCTCACTCAACTGTGCCCACTCATAATAATCAAGGGGGTTGCAGTCTGGGGAGTTAGGTAGCCAGATATATGTGGTGATGCAGTCAAAGAAATTGTCTGACAATCATGACTGGGTTCTCCTGCTTGCGTAGCATGGTGCAAAGTCCTGTTTCCAGACAGAGGGTCTTCCAGCAGCCACCGTCTTGACCCAGGGCAGCACTTTCTCCTTAAGGCACTTGATGTAGGTCTCCATGTTGAGTCTGAGTCCCTGTTGGATGATGAATGGAGGCTTAATGTCATCATTAATAATCACTCCAAACATCATGATGTTGACTGAATATATCATCCAATTTTTTCCAATTCCTCTTCATTGTCTTCAGATTGACACCAAAACACTCTGAAATGTTCATATTTGAGCTTATGGCGCAAATGCCAAGCAGAGTACAGAATGCTGTTTCCAAATTTCTGGCAGAGTGAATTGCATCATGGTGTCCTTTTTCTCACAGATGCTACCCTACTATATATATACTGTGCAGTCGACAAAAACAATGTGCATGTGCGAAATTAAAAATATAAATTGGCGACAATTTACTCATCGCACCATATATATATATATATATATATATATATATATATATATATATATATATATAATTGATGTTGCCCAGAAAATAATTGGCATCTTGCTGACCCCCCCATCCCCCACTCGCAGGACATTTATTATTCTCACTGTCAAAGCAGAGCAGAAAACATAATAAAAGACAACAAGTGTACTGGCTACTACTTGTTTGAATTCTTATATGATGTTTTAGATGTAGTCATTCTAGGACAAAGCATTTGAGGGACAACTTTTATCCTTGGACCCTGTGTAAAATGAATGCTGACAAATTTAAACATTTTTTAAATGTTACTTTTCTTCATTCGATGATGTGCATGTGTGTGTTGTTTTTTTTATTTTTCCTTTTTTTGTTTCTTTTTTCCTTTTCTTTTTTCTTTCTTTTTTCTTTTCTTTTTTTCTTTTTTCTTTTTCACTTTTTTTTTCCTCTTTTCACTTTTTTTCACTTTTTCCCTTTTTTTTTTCCCTTTTTTTTTTCCTTTTTTTAACTTTTTTTTCCATTTTTTTCACTTTTTTTTTTCACTTTTTTTCCTTTTTTTTCTTTTTTCTTGTATTGGTATCCCTTGGAGGGACTGCTGTTCAATTTCACTGCACCAATAAGAAAAAAAAAAGAAATATTTTCTATGATATTAACTTTTCAAAATTAGCACAAAGAAATCTGAAAGTAGGAAATATTTTTAAAATGAATCAAATCTATTGAGTATAACATTTCCTGTATAGTTAGTTGTTTATTACAAATGAGTTGTGTGCAAGAGTTTCCTTGCCAAGTACAGTTTTCATCTGTGTATTCAATGTCTACTTTTCAGAAGAATGCAGGCAGAACAAAAAAAAAAAACTCTATCTAATTCACTTTCTGTAAAATCCATCAACCCAATCATTATCAAAATACAATACAAAATGGGCACTTGCAAACATAAAGACATCTATGTTTGATTCCTGGCCACATCGGCATGGAAAGTAAAGCAGACCTAGCAACCAAATCAGATTTAGATATGGATGTAGATTCAACAACCAAAATCACATACACTGACTTTAAGGAGGTCATTAACAAATACACTGAAAAGGAATGGCAACAGTTCTGGGATGATAACCTGCACAATAAGCTCTTCACAATTCAGCCCAAACTAGAAGAATGGTAACTGGCTTTCAGAAAATCTTGAAAGAAAGAAGTAGTACTGACCCACTTACACATTGGCCATACAAGAATAACCCATTTGTACTTGCTAAACGATAAAGATTAACCAGTATGCCATGCATATGAAACAGCATACACTATTAAACATATATTAACTGAGTGTTCAGACTTTGCTTTCAAGACAAAAATGCTATAAATATGTATGAGCACTTTGAGAAAGCAAAAGTAGATGATGTAATTTCTTTAAAAAATGGGCCTCTACAAAAAAAATACAAATCAAATGGGAATATCAATAAGATCAATTTCTCTACAAATTGTATATCCAAAAATACATCAATGAAACCAGGCTCTTAACAAAGATCCTCTTTACAAAAATACGTCAATGAAACCTGATCTACAAATTGATTACTTACAAAGAATAAATATTCTATTCATATGAATCTATTGTAAAAATCTTGTTGTCATTAAATAACCGAATAAGGCGTCGATATGCCATAAAAGAAACCAAACTAAACCTGCTATCTTTCCTGTGTTCTTATTTCTTCTCTCCTTCTCTCTGACCTCCTACCTTTCCTCCATCACAACCCTTATTCCTTCTCCTCTCTGTAGCATTCTTACCTGCTATCATAACTCCTTCACATGTTCTTATTTCTTCTCTCTGTCTCTCTCGCATTCTCCTACTTTTCCTCCATCACAACCCTTATTCCTTCTCCTCTCTCTAGCATTCTTACCTGCTATCATAACTCCTTCACATGTTCTTATTTCTTCTCTCTGTCTCTCTGCATTCTCCTACTTTTCCTCCATCACAACCCTTATTCCTTCTCCTCTCTCTAGCATTCTTACCTGCTATCATAACTCCTTCACATGTTCTTATTTCTTTCTCTGTCTCTCTCGCATTCTCCTACCTTTCCTCCATCACAACCCTTATTCCTTCTCCTCTCTAGCATTCTTACCTGCTATCATAACTCCTTCATGTTCTTATTTCTTCTCTGTCTCTCTCGCATTCTCCTACCTTTCCTCCATCACAACCCTTATTCCTTCTCCTCTCTCTAGCATTCTTACCTGCTATCATAACTCCTTCACATGTTCTTATTTCTTTCTCTCTGTCTCTCTAGCATTCTCCTACCTTTCCTCCATCACAACCCTTATTCCTTCTCCTCTCTCTAGCATTCTTACCTGCTATCATAACTCCTTCACATGTTCTTATTTCTTCTCTCTGTCTCTCACATTCTCCTACCTTTCCTCCATCACAACCCTTATTCTTTCTCTCTCTCTAGCATTCTTACCTGCTATCATAACTCCTTCACATGTTCTTATTTCTTCTCTGTCTCTCTCTACATTCTCCTACCTTTCCTCCATCACAACCCTTATTCCTTCTCCTCTCTCTAGCATTCTTACCTGCTATCATAACTCCTTCACATGTTCTTATTTCTTCTCTCTGTCTCTCTCGCATTCTCCTACTTTTCCTCCATCACAACCCTTATTCCTTCTCCCTCTCTAGCATTCTTACCTGCTATCATAACTCCTTCACATGTTCTTATTTCTTTCTCTGTCTCTCTCGCATTCTCCTACTTTTCCTCCATCACAACCCTTATTCCTTCTCCTCTCTCTAGCATTCTTACCTGCTATCATAACTCCTTCACATGTTCTTATTTCTTCTCTCTGTCTCTCTCGCATTCTCCTACCTTTCCTCCATCACAACCCTTATTCCTTCTCCTCTCTCTAGCATTCTTACCTGCTATCATAACTCCTTCACATGTTCTTATTTCTTCTCTCTGTCTCTCTCGTGATTCTCCTACCTTTCCTCCATCACAACCCTTATTCCTTCTCCTCTCTCTAGCATTCTTACCTGCTATCATAACTCCTTCACATGTTCTTATTTCTTCTCTCTGTCTCTCTGCATTCTCCTACCTTTCCTCCATCACAACCCTTATTCCTTCTCTCTCTCTAGCATTCTTACCTGCTATCATAACTCCTTCACATGTTCTTATTTCTTCTCTCTGTCTCTCTCGTGCATTTCTCCTACCTTTCCTCCATCACAACCCTTATTCCTTCTCCTCTCTCTAGCATTCTTACCTGCTATCATAACTCCTTCACATGTTCTTATTTCTTCTCTCTGTCTCTCTCGCATTCTCCTACCTTTCCTCCATCACAACCCTTATTCCTTCTCCTCTCTCTAGCATTCTTACCTGCTATCATAACTCCTTCACATGTTCTTATTTCTTCTCTCTGTCTCTCTCGCATTCTCCTACCTTTCCTCCATCACAACCCTTATTCCTTCTCCTCTCTCTAGCATTCTTACCTGCTATCATAACTCCTTCACATGTTCTTATTTCTTCTCTCTGTCTCTCTCGCATTCTCCTACTTTTCCTCCATCACACCTCCTTATTCCTTCTTCTCCCTCACAGTCATTTTCCCTCTTCCTCTCTGATGTTATTCCTAATTTCAGAAGACCAAGCAGTTATTACACTTTGATCTTAGAGACTAAAGAATAATTGTTGTATAAACGAACAAGCAGAATCATATAGAGAAACTGAAGATGGTGGCATCATTATCTCCATAATCGGCAGTAACAGTATCAGAAGGAAATGTTCTGAATGGCAAAAAAGTATTAGTCAACCATACCTCATAAATATTTGAATGAGTGACTGACATAACCTAATCTCAATGTAAAGAAGAGTAGCGATCATACATGTATGACGATCTAAGAAAGAGTCACAACTGAATGAGCAGCTACCGTGCCCATAACCCAAACGAAGATATAAGTTTGCAGCATCATGATTATTGTCGGAGGCATTAACAATGTCACTTACTTCTTATCATTCCCAGTTGTGATGAGCATTCGCGGTAATGTCAGTCATATCTCCAGAGAAATTTCACTTTGTGGCTGGCCTCGTTCGCTTCAGATGAAAATAATTCTTGTTTTTGAATTCTTCCCTCAGCAGAAAATCTTTCTTTCTGTTCTTAGCCACATTTTACTTCTTCACTCATTTATTTTGGAAAAAACAAAAAACTTGGAACCTTGTCACATGATTATTTTATTCCATAATATAAGTCTGTTTTCTTTAATAGATTTCTTTTAGATTTGGTTTCTGAGACAAATTGTTGAAGATTCAGTCTATGAAATGTTAGACCCCATTTTTTTTATTTCTTCATCTCACAGTGCATGCTGATTTTTTTTTTTTTTTTTTTGCAATTGAAATATGTTGAAAATTAAAACTTTCACTGCTGCATTGTTGCCTGGCTGTACTGACTGATTTGGGGAGAAATAGGAAATTACTTTTTGCTATAAATAAAAGACGGCACTGGTGAAAATTTCTCATAGTTGCCACAAATGCTCCAGATTGATATTTTTCAAAATGTATGTTGACAGAAGGCAATGTAAATTTTGTATAGCCATGTATGTCCACAATTGTAGTAGTGTTCAAGAACAGGCATTATGTTTTTTTCATCAGTCTCATATCTTGATAAATAATAAAAAAAAAATATACAAGGCAGAAAACAATCTCATCCTGACTTAGCACAATGTTTGAACATAAGAGCTGTTAGATAAATAGTTTGCCAAACCACTCTATCATGACTACTACCTAGTAACATTAGGGAGGGAAAAAAAGAGGCTGAGGTTTATAGCATTGACTGCATATTCCCAGAGCAGCAAGAAATTCCATTATTCCATTTAAGGTAGAATGAGGGAATGAAAACTTGAAAAAAAATTTCTCTGCTCAAGAATATCAGTGTTCTTTATAGCCAAAAAGTATTTATGTAACCAAGGTTGGGAAGCATTAGTTTTTATTGCCACAGCTTACAAGCAGTGATGCTAATATGTGATTTTTTATCAGCTACTTTTTATGTAGGTTTGATGTCATTTCACTTCTAAATTAACACGCTGAAACTTACATAAGTAATTCTTCCACCCATTTTCAGTCAGCTAACTCTGCAAATGTCTTGAGGAAATTGTTTCCAAATTTTTGAGCTTACCCTCCAAAGCATCTTTGACTATAAAACTTGAGTGGCAAGAGTTGAAAAAAAAAGGTTAGATAAACAGATAAAGCTAAAAGATAAAATTTCATCTTTTTGGGTCTCTGAAATTCTGTTTTAAAAAAATTTTCAGGTAACAATTCTAACTGTTTTTCAGGTGGGTCAGAGAGGATTTAGTAAAAGGTAAGACGTCCTAATGATTTGAGTTGACATACATTTGCTCCAATCTGTCTTCTGTTTTGAAAACATTGATTTGTAAGACTGAAATTCTCAAATTATGGGATTTTATGTTTACAAGATCATTACTCTGGAATCTCTTATTTTCTCTTAAATCTTCTTGACTTCTCAAGAACCACAATATAATTCTAGCTTATCCCCACTCAGTTGAATCTGTGGTGTAAACAAGAGACTGGTACCCAAGAGACATGGAGTTGGGATCCAACTGCAAAAACTGGTTATTATAAAATCATAAAAATTATTTTAAAGTTACATGTGTAATCATATGGCACAAGGCCTTATTTTGTAAAGAACACAGAATTAGGAATTAACAATTTTGATATGAGGTACATTTTTCCTCCAATTAAAAGATAAAATCAAAACTGAGTACAGAATAAAAGATAATTTTCTTTCTGAGACAATTTTATGACAAAGCACTTGTTGATCTCAAAAAACTAATGATGGTTTGATGCTCCATAAAATTGGTCTTATGCTAAATGGAGTTGTTTCTGATTTATGCAATCAAATGATAATTTGGTGTTCCATAATTGTGGCCTTATGCCAGACTTAATGAATTTGCTTACGAAGACATGATATTTGAAAAATGAAAGTGATATAACAAAAAACTTTTTTATATATATTTTGGACCATTTTTTTGTTTTTTCAAATAAATTGTCCAATGAGTATTTTCAGTAGTCATGAAAGATTTTTTGTGTGCATGTTAGGTCACAAATAAAAGTAATTAGTAATCTTTTTTATTTAATAGTGAAATGTTTTTCTTTTCAATTTTGTAACATGCATACAGATGTCAGGGAATTATTGGGTTGAGTATGGATGCTGCCCCTCCACACACACATACCTACTACTACTATTAAGTTGTAAATTGGATTGGAAATTAATTTATATTCAACTTCGGTTAATACTGTTAAAATGTTCTATTAGACATTTTGCTACAACGTGATGGTTTAGCTGTGTTGTCATAACAAACAATAGATAACAGATAATTACAAGAATGACTTTCTTTCCTCAAGATAGATGTGCACATACATATATACTATACAAATTTCACAACAAAAATATAAACAATATTTAATTTCCTGTTGTCATAATTTACATTATTCACATGCAAATGATTATTACAATGTTTTGGCCATTGTATCTTTCCAGAAAACACGATGGCTGAAACGTCATAACAGCAACAAAGATGAGGATAATATTATGGGTGTGTGTGAGAGTAATAAATATATATATATATAGATAACTGTAAATTAAAATATCTGAATCAGGTGTATTATTGGGCCACTGTTACAGTGATACCCTATAAACAGGCCTGGAAAACTGGAGTGGATACGTGGTGGATTTTGTTTTGTTATCGTGTCAATAATAAATCAACAATACAAGACAATAAGGTAAAAACAATAGGTCTGAACAATGTGGAATCTTTATTGAAAACAGATATCTTTTGTTTAATATTATTAGGAGATAATATTTATGGTGAGTGTTAGTAAGAAGTAATGACATCTCTGGTCTTTTAAATAATTTTATATTTTTAAATTATGTCAAAGATCTTTTATTTTTATCATACTTATTATAAAACCCAGGTTGTGTGTGTGTGTGTGTGTGTGTGTGTCTCTGTACGTTTATATACTGGATCAGATTTCCTACATTTTTCAACCAATTTCAACAAAACTTCACAGGACTATGTAAAATTACCTTGCGGTGGTTCTGACAGCACCAAAAATTGGAAAAACACAATTGTTTTTGCATGAAATCAATTTGAAAACACGATTAAGTCACCAGAATGAAAGGGGGCCAACTAATATTGAGTTATACTTATTATAAAACCCAGGTTGTTTTTGTGTGTGTTTGTTTGTTTATATATGGGATCGGATTTCCTACATTTTTCAACCGATTTCAACAAAACTTCACTTTTTTTTTGGCAGGTAGTGTTTCTTAATTTTTTCTTTATTTTTACATTCAGAATGCTTTAAAAATTCTATTCAATCAGTAGACTCATAACAATTGAAAACAATGTTTTTGTTTGAATTTGGTTTTGACCAATTCGTAAAAAAAAAAAAAAAACTAATTAAGACATGCGTGTCCATCAACCTTAAACAACAATCTTTGTCAATTTTATTTTTCAGTATTTATGATGGTCGATACTTGATCTATCTCTTACTGTTACATCCCCCGGCAACGCCGGGCTCTACTGCTAGTATTTTATATTTTGCTGAGACTTTTATCCTTCCTCTTCTTGTGGTATTTTCTCATTTTTAGTTGGTATATTTTTTTTTTACTAAATCTTTTTTTTTTTGTTTACTTGTTTTGTTGAATATGTTTTCATTATCAAAGTGCGTTTTTTGTGGATTGTTCTTTTTGTTTTTAGAAGATGTCTTCTGTTGCATTTTATGTGTGTACCTTCTTCGGTAGCTAATACATATGAACCAGGTCTGTCTTGCTTTTTGATTATTTTTCTTTTACTGGAATTTTATGTGTACATTATCATCTGATTTTAGCGTTTATAGTTCTCTATAACTGCATGCACACAAAAACCAAACACTGTGTAGATTTATTATTAGGAAGATTTGTGCATAAAGTCTTCATTAGTTGTTCTGCCGGTAAAGATGGATTGTTCTTTAAAGAAGTTGTTCTTTAAAGCTAGTATAGCTAAGTAGGGATCTTGCTGACTTTCAAATGCTTTCTTAAAGTGTCTTTTTGATGGTCCCTATGTTCCTTTCTGCTAATCTATTTGAGTGTAGAAAGTTTGCACTTGTGATGTGCATTTGAAATCCCATTCTTTAGCAAATCTTTTAAAATCTACCAATTTGTATTCTGGATCATTGTCACTGATTACTATTTGAGGAACCTGGCGA